TTATACCATCTAGATACCAATATTATAAAATAATTATAAATTAATAATTAAAATTAAAATTATTTATTATTTAATATAAGTACCTTCAAGTCTTTTTAGCTCATCAATGATGGGTCACATAAAGCTATTAAAGTCTTTTGGACATTTAGGTCCAGAAATTATTGCTGCAACTAATAAATTTTCTCGCTTAACATAATCTTCTGGTGGAATATTATTATTAATAAACATAATTATCCAATTATTATCATGTTGCTAATGAAATATTTAATACCTATCTAAGCTTCCAGTAAGTACTATATCCCACTCATCTTTTATCAAATTTTTATTTAATAAGCTTTTGTATAACTGACCATCATAAATATCTTCAAACTTGTTAGTATTAAGTATGTAATTTGAGCGATATCTAAAAGTTTTTGATCATTAAGAACTTGCATATTGAAACTTTAATCAAGAGGCTATTGGATAGTAAGTGGCTACTTTGTATGCTATATTTTTTTTTTGAAATCACTCAGCCAAACATATAGGGCATTGTGTTGCTTCTACATATTCTTCAGTAAAAGCTACATATAAGTTTATACATATATCAACAAATGATATATCAATATTAACTAAATTCTGAAAGATCTTTTTTGTTGAATATAAGGTAGGGCTATAACAATCAAAATTCATAATGTTTCTTCAAAATCATTATTTGAAAGATAAGTATTTGTTGCTTTTAAGTATAATAGTTGTAATGCTTTAAATGCATTTGGTGATTTTACTATAAATAAATTAATTAAAATAGACATTATTAAATTAAATTTGAATAATTTATTTACAAAATTTCTAGAGATATAACTTAATATATTTATTATTTTAGTTATATAGTTTGTTTAAGCTTACAGTAGTTTATATTAAATTTATATACAAATCATTAAATAAATATTTAATTACTTTCGATATCTTCAATATATTGAACTAATTTATAATTTTCTTTTTGAATATTTTTTTTTATTACATTGCTATTATTAGTTTCTTCTTTATTTATTAATTTTGACTTACTATATTGCTCTAGCACCTCATACTCTTCAAAATTTTTATATAATTCTATTTCTTTATCTTGCTTTAATTTGTTATCTTGATTATTTTTTGATTTATACACACTTTTTTTTTTATGATAAGTTTTTCCAATAATAATGCCATTTTTATTATATAAGCATTTTTTAGCCTTTTCATGCTGGTGTTTAATTCATTTATGAAGTTTCTGACCATGTAAATTAATTATTAGACAGGCTTTATATTTGCAAGTTACTTTCTCATTTTTATGTGAATTTGCCATAACTAAAAGGTTAAGTAATATATTAATATGATTTTAAAATTTAGTAGTTCTAATTAATGAAATATCTGTTTAATAGTAAAGTCAATATTAACTTATTGTTATTTGTACTATGATACAATTTCTAAAAAGAAAATAACCAATTAGAAAATACTTCTGAATTTTTATTTAACACATCTTTTGCTTTAACTTGTTTGTTTACAAGATCTGCAGCTATATATAATTGTTCAAACAATGAGATTTATACAATATTGTTTTTTTTATATTACGTATTGTTTACAATGACAACTTCTTCTATTTCTTATTCGTACTTATCTCAAAAAATTACAGACTGTGAACTTCCATCCACAGAAACTTTAAACATATTCTCAAAAGCTCAACAAATAGAAATCTTAAAATTATGTTATAATACACAAAAAAGATTGCTTAATAAGTTACTTGATGATAAAAGAATAGAACATGCTGATATTGAAATTCCAGTTGTACAACTGCCCAAAAGAAACAAAAATCAATCATCAAAGTTGAAACTATGGAAGCTTTGTCCTTGGTTATCTAAAGACTATTTTTCAAAAATTAAAGCTGATTTTACACCACATCTTGAAACAAACAAAATTACAAAACTAACAACATAGTTACAGTTAGGATATTCAGCTAGAGAAAGTTGGGTCAAAGATGTAAATTAATTATATGATTATTATAAGATTAGTTCAATATAAGGTTAATTAGTATATGAAACCTCTAAAAATCTGGAAATATTATAGTCTACATTCATTTATATTAATGAAAACAGACAGTTTAAAGTCATGATAATCAAAAAAACATCTATATTATCAATTTTATAAGAAAATAATGTTTACTAAGATCCTCTTGAATATATAAAAATTTTGCTTCTAATTGGATAAAATAGATTACAAAATCAAATAACGTGTATATAGAAAAAAAGATATAATAAGCTAATATTGAGGTTATCAAACATATATTATGCTAAATATTTTACAATTAACTTTTTGTTTAAGTGCAAAGGTGACATTATAAGCAAAGTTTTAAATCTTTTTTTTATAAGTTTTATATTATTAAGATTTTGTAATATAATTGGTCAGAACGTAATATTATTGCATAATCTACTTTACCCATAAGAGACGGCATTTTAATATATATTTAATTGAAATTTAGAAAAGAATTAAACTTCAAAAAAACAATTTAATTACAGTAATTTAAAAGAGTGATTAAGTTAAATTTGAATTTACTATTTTTAATCTTAAAAATTATATATTTTAGGTATATACTAAACATAGACTTCAAATTGGCTCTAATAAATGGATGTACAAAAATGTTTAAAACAAAAATTAAATAATAGAGGTAAAATAATAATATCAAATTACTTAATTATGAATTTGTTTAATATATAAATTTCCTTATATTTTTAATAGCTAATAATTTCAGAAAAAGAGCAAAAAAAAAAGGTCTCAAAGCTACTATACCAAATATGCAAGTTGCAAGTAGTGATGATGAGCCAAAAATAATGCAACAATTGACTAATATTTTTAAGAGATATACAGTAATGAACAAAGAAAATATGGATTTATCCTTTAGATCTAGTAAAGAATTCGGAGAAATTGACACAGAAATACATTTAATTGGTAACTGTATATTTCATTTTATACATATTAATTATTAGTTGATTTTATATTATTAATAATTAAATTTATTTTTAATTAGGTGATAATGATGA